CCTCTACGCTTAAAAAACAGCGTAATTTAACTGGTATGGCCATTGTACTTAATTGAACTGTCAGCCAAAATAGATAAACATAATAGTCCACTGCAAAATGCGAAAAAAAATAAAATAATGAAGAAGAAAAACAGCAATGGACACTCACTATTTTTTATTGCATGTGACATTTTGGCAAGCTCAGCCAAACTGCACAGTGTGCGATTTAGTCGAATGAAGCTGCAGTGGTTGACCTTCGATATCTAACAAAATTGAATAACTAAATCATAATTTCCCAAAATATATACGTTTTAAAAATAATAAGCACACTTTAATATTCCTTAACTAATCAATTTCGTTCCGCTAATCAGCTTAATCGCCCACTGTGAGTTTGGCAGAGATTTTTAGTCCCTTTGTAGCGAGTTACTCTGTCCAGGTCAACGTTGTTGCCGTCTGGCTTTGTATCCAAATATATATAACGTATATATACATAAATAAATGTATGTATATACAAATAAAACAATAGCCAACTTTGCGCTAAGCTGATGCACTTCATGCCCAAAAAGGCTGCAATTAAAATAAGTACCTCGCCGTTTGGCTGCCATCGTCGTTGGTTTGGCGCTGCGGGAATATGAATGTATATGTATACATATATATGTATATAGAAACAGCAACACCCAAAAAAGTAACAAAAAGTTCTTACACATGCACACAGCTACTTGGATATAAATATGTGCATATGGTATATAAGCACATTGTGTTCGCAAGCTAATTAAGAAATTACTGCAGGCAAAACAGCGCCCATGTAGCCATATAGTCTGTGCAGGCTCCAGTTCCCTGGCCCCGCTCAAACCGCGTTGCCGCCTCCGCCATAGCCGAAAAGCCATTCAATATAAGTATGCATGAGAACGAAAAATGATATTAACAAAAAAAGCAAGGCCAATCCGAAATGCTCACGGATAAGCCGAATTCTCAGTCAGCTGCACTGTGAGGAATCAGCAAGCGGGCAGCACAGGAAAATGTTCATTGATTTAATTATGTTCTTTTAAAAAAATGATTTTCATTATTTTTCCTTTACCAGCAATTGACTGAGTTTCAGTTACTTTAAATCCATAGGTTCGTACAACTCTTTCGATATTATTTTGTGATCTTCTTAATTTTGATAGAAGACAACGATCTAGCACTTTCTCTGAGTATTTTCTTTGAAATCAGCAAGGTTTTTGATATATTAATATCAAAATCCCTATTTAAACTCATATGCTGTTCTGTAAGGAAGTCGCCCTACAAAAAGGAAGCTCACATAATCCAGTCCACTCAGACAATTCACTTTACATATGAGCAAATGTGATCCAAAACAACCAAAAAAATGTGGAAAAAAAAAACAAAAACTGAAATTATGAAAAGCAGTCAAAAAGCAAGCATTCAAAGTGCCCTCCAACTCAGCAGGCAATTTCCATAATTTCTCTACAATTTTCAGCCATTTTATAAAATGAATTGAAATTTTTGTTCGTTTTTTGGGACCGCACTTCCTTCGACAAACAAAAAAATACAAGGAACAACCAAAAGCGCTCTAGTCGGGGATGCTCGAATAGGAATTACCTTGGACCGTTATGCACCATAATAACAATAAAAAAAAAGTAAGAATAGAGCATCGATTACAGCAACAGATGTTTCGCAAAAATTCATATTAAGATGGTTTATTTTAAAAATGCAAACTTTTTAATGTTAATTGATACAAGCATACTCCGATTGATAAACAGTAACTAAAACGTCTTATTCTATTGAATGGATGTAACGATAAAACTGGAATTGAAATAAAAACACAATGATAATTGCTTCTCCGAAGTTTGAACACGCCTTCTATTACCAGAACGAGCTGCTCATCATCGCCTGAGATCTTACCTCCACACTAACTTTACTATTATCTCTTCAGAAAAAACGGAGTTAAAATAACAGAACACATATAGCAAAGTGGTTTTCGTATGACTAAATGTTTTCTTTAAAAACTTATTTGTTTTGTAAACCGAATTTGATAGTTTCATCAGTTATTGTATCAAAGAATCTGCCTAGATGTCGGCGATAACTAAAAAATTAATATTTATGGAATATTTATGCATGTTAAATATCACATTTGGTGACTGTAGCTTTAAAATCTGATAAATATGCTTAAAACACACGATTGCGATATTGAGTTTTATCGACTTCGAGGGAACGGGGCAGAAAGTTGTCGATGCTTTTATAAGTTCAGATTTCGATGTGTTCATACAGATGGAAGGACAGACAGAAGTCCATGGCTAGGTCGATTTGGCTGTTGATGCTCACCAGGTATATACTTTATTAAGGTCGAGCCCTTCTGCCTGTTACATACACTTGCACAAAACCATTAGACTCTATTTACCCATTTTCAATGGGTTCAGGGTATAAAAAACCCAAAAAAAAAGGAAATAAGAAAAGCCATCAAATCCATTCATGCGCTTAAATAAAATGCTCAAGCACTTGACTGCACCCATAGAAAAATCTGTTGGGCATAGTCGAAAAAATGAAATGAAATAAAAAATATGCGAGTACAACTCAAGTAGCTATGGGAAGAGTATCCCACATAAAAGGTAGTGTAATTTGTTCTGATGGCTTCTATATATACCAAATACCAAATAGAGAGAGTAGCCTTTCTTCGTATAACAAATGAGAGTGAGCTATTGTTGGCGCTTGCTTGCATTCTTGGCTAACAAATTAACTTTTTGGATGGCAAATCCAAGTGGCTTAATGGCTAACAATTAAAGTCTTTATGAGCTGATTTAGATAGATTTCAATGCGTAAGAACTTTAAATTGCTTGCAATTGTTCATTTTTATAAATCATATCTGAAAATATGCATTCAAATTTAATATCCTAAAAGCCTGACACGGGTCAAATAATTAACCGTATTACGAAATATGCAGAGATACATTTTATGAAACGCACACAGAAGCTTTATTTGTACATACTAATACGACTATACATTTTGCAAATAGATACAATTGCACAAGTACCGCTTGTATCTATCTGGTCGAAATCGTTTGTTTCGCATAACCAAAAGCATTTTATGCATTTTTATTGCCATTTATTCACAGCGCACAATTTGCAATTTATTTTTGCAATTTAACACGCCACGCAATGCAGACGGATAGGGCCAGCGGGCTGTTGCATAGGCAAAAAACCAACAGCAACATCAACAACAACAACAACAACGACGACGACAACGACAACAACAACGACAACATTTAACGCGCTCGGTGCGAGTTAACAACAACAAAAGTGCACAATAAATTGTAACTTAAAACGAGCAACAACAACGATAGCATCAGCAGCTCAGCAACAACTGCAGCAATTGTTACACACATACCAGTGCATATACAATTACATTCATATTTATATATCCACTATAAATACAATGTTGCACACATATTTGCGTTGGCAATTAAACGTAAATAAACGTTTCAGGCACATTTGTGTTGCTGCCTGCCGCCAACGCGGCATCCTACTACCAAAGCCCATTAGAAAACTGCAAAAAAAAAAATAGCAAAATACGGAAATGCTTATTTCAAATGTGTGTATATTGCCTCGCGGGAATCGAATTCACGACTGCAGATATATCACAATTAGTGGTATTCCAATGGCAAGCTTCATTTTTTTATGAGCCTCATGCAACAGTTCAAAGCCATGAATATTATAGGGCTTATTAAAAATGAGTTGAATATGATCTATACATAAATATATATATGCTGAATTATGTTTTTTTCAATGATATGAATTTAAGTTCTTTTGAATATCTTTTTACTCTTAATGTTGGCTATTTAACAACAAAAGAAACTTATGCACTGGAATATTTCTTAAATAAAGCAGATCACAACCTATTGAATAAACGGGTACTGTAGTATGTACATTCAGCTAAAGTTTACCAGTATTTTCTGTTGGGATAAAACATATTTTTAAATAACAATTTCCGAAGGAAACTGCATTTCTCAGCACTCACCAAATGCTGAGCCTTTTAATAACAAAAAACATATCTATGTGTAATTACATTATCTTTTATTGGGTTTTTATTAATTTTCTTTTTAGATATATAAGCATGTTTTTGTGTATTTTAGATTTTTACTTACTTTAAATGTAGGTTGCGATGTGTTTAGTACATTGAAGTAATAATTTAACTAGTTATTTGGTAATTGCTTGATATAATACTTACAAATGTGCATATGCCAGTCTCTTTGTAGCTTTGGCTTATACAGCATACATTGAGATATTATGTAATTTGTTTTAATATCATTGTTTATTTTTAAAATTGTTATTATTTTGTTAGCCTGTTTATGGAAACCAACCGACAATTATTCTTACGATTATCAGACATAACTATGCGAGAATAACCTACATTTGACCAGCAATCAAAAGTTAAAGCAAAATAAAACCGCATTATTTTAAGCTGCAAAAACATATTAAATATATAATATTTTATATACAGTCTAAAGTGCGAGCAAATAAAGCGATAAACGGAAGCGATACATTTACAAGATACGGCTTAAAAACTATTGAGCAAGAGGCATTTACAATGAGAACAGAGAGGGACGAAAAGGGGAGAGAGATAGATAGGAGCTATGACTTGGCTGTATAGGTAATGCCAAGCTACAGAGATTGAGGTGCCCGCATCCGCATCCGCATCCTTAAACTAAGCTAGGCGAGCACCTATATAAGTAAGTATATATACAAAAGCTTTAGGAACAAACTATTCAAAACATTACAGCTTTTATCGATTATGTTGATGAGGCGCGGCGAGCCTTCTCAATTTTTGGCCTTTGTGGTTAGCATTGAAACCAATTGATGTGCACTTAGCCACTGATCCTTTAGGCAAACTTTTCAATAGAAATTTACAATGCAACTGGGAGTGGGCGGCGTGGGCGGTGTGGGCGGCACCGACAACTGCTCAGTAGGAGTGTGCCTTGTGAATTATCGATTTCTCCACAGCAGTAGCCTGCATTGACGAGCCCTGACTTGCACCTTCGTTGCGTTCCAGGCAATTGTTGTTTTTTGTGCGCAGCTCAAGAGTAATAGAAGGCGGCGGGGGCGCAGCAGATGGCGTTGAACGGACGTAGACATTTGCGGTCTGCTGCTCGGCGTCGAGCTCCTCATCGGCCTCGACATCGATGGCAGCATCGTCCTCGTCTGTGTACGGCACGTGTTCCTGCTCACTTTCGGAGTCCGCTTCAATGGAACAGCGTCTCAGCTGCAGCGCAGGTATTCGCGGCGGCATTGGCGGCGGCGGCTTTAGTAGCGTCATGGGCGCCGCCAGGCAGCCCACGTTCTATACCAGCGATGACAGCGGCGGCCGTGGTGGGCTGGTGTTGCGGGCAGCAGCCGCAGCATAATACTGCATGGGATGATGATGCGGCGGCGGTGGAGGCACAAAGCCGGCTGTGGTTCCATCGTGGTAGAGCACAGGCACACGCACCAAGCGCTGTGCTGCATGCGCCATGTTGGCCATGTTAGCGGCTTCTAGCTCAGCGGCCAGCTGGCGTTTCCATTTGTTGCGACGATTTTGAAACCATATCTTAACCTGCGTCTCGGTCAGGCGTAGCGAGGCAGCCAGTCCGGCGCGCTCCGACGAGCTGAGATACCGCTTCAGATCGAATGTTGACTCCAGCTGAAACACCTGGGCGCGCGAGAAGACTGTGCGCGTCTTCTTCTTACGCTTGGAATTATTGCCGTCACCATGTGGCGAGGAACTGTCAGATGGGCCATCGGTGCCGTCGTCTTCCTCAATGATTTCTTCGCCCTCATCATCCGACTCGTTCGAACTGGTGGGCAGCATATAACCGCCGCTCCCATGAGAGCTCGACATATGATGTCCATGATGCGAGAGACCGCCGGCGCTGCTGGTGGGCGTGCTGGGCTGATGTGGATGCTGTAAATGCTGCTGGGCAGCATGTGGATGCTGTTGCTGCTGCTGATAGAGCGGGTGATGTGAGCCATGGAGCGATCCAGCCACACCGGGCGGTGGTGATTTGTTGGCGTGGCCATTGCCCGAGTTGTTGCTACTGGCGTTGGTAGTGTTGTTGTTGTCGTTATTATTGTTGTTGTTGTTTCCGCTGCTGGGGCTAAGGGAAGTGGGTGATGGTGGATTTTCCGTAGTGTTTGTGGAGGAACTGTCTGCAAAGAGAGAAAGATAGCGAGAGAGAGACAGAGAGCGCATGAGCGACAATTCTTGACAGAGAGAGAGAGAGAGAGAGCGTGAGCAGAGCAACGTTTTGTTATTTGATTTAACTGCCTGTGTGTGTGTGTGTGTGTGTGTGTGTGTGTGTGTGTGTGTGTGTGTGTGTGTGTGTGTGTGTGTGTATGTGTGTGCGGTGTTAGCGTATGTGCGTGTATAAGTGCTTGCGTCCGGGGAAGGTGGTCGCGCTAAGGGTTGTTTAAGATCTTATTGTAGCCCTGTATGTGCTGCTGCACAGATTTAAGCTGCAACACTTAACCTCACACTTGCCTTGGTCTTGTCTCTTCCTTTTTTTTTTGTTGCTTTTATACCCACAAGCAAGTTAGAGCGCAGACGCGGAGAGTAATTGCCCTGCACCATCCCCGCAGCCTGTCCACAGAATATATATTTCTGTGTATGTGTCTGCGTGCGTTAAATTACCATTTAAAATGGCTGTCAGTCAGCTGAGCGATTCCACTTTTATTGAGCTTTTAGTTTGGGTCCTATTTGAAAAGTTTAAATTGCTGTAATTTGCTTCATATGGACTTTACGTGCTGCACATTGAGCTGCCCCCCTCTCCCAGGCTTCAACATCAGGTCGCTTGCAGCTTGGGCTATAGAACTATGCGCTGAATCGGTTAAATTCCAGAAGCCGTGCGTGGCGCAAAACTTAAGGCCAATTTACATGAGCAAATGCAATTGCAACGCCATCTAATACCAGAGGCGCAATCAAATGGGTCTTAATACTAGCTGACCAGAGCGGTAGCCGCTGTTGGGAGAGGTCTCGCACTTAATACGCGACAAAGGCGAACATGTCAAACACTTTGTAATTTGCCCTCAGTCGTAACTCGATACTCGATTACAAATTGCAATTAATTGAAAATGGCGATTACTGCAGTTGTATTTGTGAACGGCGGACAGCGAACGGTACATGTGTATTTGCCTGTCCACGCCATGGGGGCACTATTAAAGCCTCTCCGCGTGTGTGTTTAAGCAATGTGTTGCCTGCTTCAGGGCGCACTTTGGCTGCATTGTACAAATTCTTGCGGGCATTAGGCAAGTTTGAGCCTCCAACTATGCAAATTAAATGGAATGCTTTCAAGAATGTTTGGCGCGGCACATTCTTTACCAAAGAATTTCAGATATTCGCATTTATTTCTTTAGACCCAAGCTAAAAAGCGGTATCTTAGGCGTTAAGCTGCGAATGCAGGCAGTAAAAGCAATTGAGAAGGCAACGATTTAAAGCAGACATACACAGGTAATTAGATATGTACAGGTAATTATTCAATACTAATATCTATCAAATACTAATGCTAATATCTGGCATTCATTTGATTTAGATTAACCATAATTTTTAGGCTGATTGTATCTCGCTTGCTGAACCTGAGGTGGCCTGATTTATTGACATTGAATTTTCAATTTTTACTTATATAAAATATTTCTTCTCTATGTACTGGCATAAATATATCTCTTTATCGGTTTCGCCTGGGTCCAATTTAAAATTGAATTAAAAATTCTTTCTTACGTCTTGGCGTTAATTTAAGCCCTCATCCTAAAAAAATCATTAAATAAATACAAATATTGAGAATTGCTTGTTAGCCCGCGGCTCAAATACCTAAGCTAAACAGGCTTATAACGTCAAGTTAGCAAAGCGCAATTACCTTAATGTTTTTGATGTTTTTAATAGGTCAAACTTTCTTAAAACCCCATTTTGCCGCTCGCTCTCGGCCCTAAAGGAAGCTTCAGTAAAATTGTAACTTTGTAGATCATACAGGAAGTGCGTTAATGACCGGTCAGACAGCCAGTCAGGATAAACTCTTGTATATCAGGTGGTGTATATATTTATTATGGCCAAGTTATTGAAAACGATTGATTATATGTACTTAAAATTAACTTACCATGAGTTGGACTATGGAAGGGCATTCGCTGTGGTGCCCAGGGCCAGCCAGGTGGACACAAAGCTGCATAGCGTCCAGCTAGAGCGCCCCATTGCGAGATGAAACCCAATCTGGAAAGCGGCAAATGAAGAGCAACATTTAGCAAATTTCCATAAATGATGCAGCTTTATAATTGCTGAAATTGTAGCTTTTTGGTTTCAAGATGAGAGAACATAAACCATTAACTGGAACATTTAATCTATACAACCAGATAAATGTAGTCAGTCCAATGCCGACGGGCAAACATTGCTCGACATAACAAGAAAAATCAACGCTAGAAAAAACTCTTAGAAAGAACGACCCTTAAATGCTAAGCAACCCCACACCAGAAGATGGCCATAACTGACAACAGCTGCTGCGAATTTTGCTCCCCCAGAAAACATATAAACACACACATCGCCTCACACATATATACATTTAATACATATAATGTAAATATGTATGCATATAAATGCCGGCGTCCATGTAACCTTATTAGGTTGCTTGCTTAAAAGCATCTTTATAAATACATTTATTTATTTATGTTAGACGCGGCAAAGTTTGCAAGACGAAACACTTTTTTGGCGTTTACGTTATAATGTGCTGCATATGCGTGCGACTGTGTGAGTTTGTGTGTGTGTGTCTGGGGTGGTTTTGGTGGCGCTGCCGTGGGGTTTATTGTGCTAAATCAAAGTTTTCGAGTCAAATCATTTAGGCAGAAGCTAATGCGAGAGGTAATTGGAGGAAAGCAGCTTTTGTTTTATGGGGGTAGCACAGCGTGGGTAGCGGTCGGTAAAGGGGCATTGGGGGGCTATTGCCTGTTTGTGGCACTTAAAAGCTTTTCGTAACCACCGCACAGCCAGCCACCACTCAAGCAGTCCGACTCGGCAATTTGATTGATTTATTGATATGCTTAAAAGTCTCTCCGGTGTTCTTAAGCTTCCCACGCACTCAATGAACTTTGCTGTTTAACAATGCGCCCGGGACAAGCCACAGCCAGAGCCAGTGCATTCCCACCAGTCTAAAATACCAATGGCGGCCACATCGAGCCCATGGGCAGCCCTCTTAGCTAGCTCCGACGCTTTTGTTGCTTTTGTTGCTGATTTTGCTTCTTTGCTTTTCGTATTGTTTTTATACTCGTTAAACCCTTTGACCGTTTTGCAAGTGACCCGTGTGCAAGCAGCAGACTGTGATTTCTTTTCGACCCCAACCAGCCCCCAAAAGCTGCCCAGCCACCCCCAGACAGACAATGAGCTGGCCAAGTTGTGTGTGACATTAACATTTAGCTGACCTCTTTCACAGCGGCCAAGGTGCAGGTGTGGAAATCAATAGTTGCCAAGCTCTTTCACTTACTCAACCTCTCTCTATCTCACTCACTCTCTTCCCCTTCCTCTCGCTCTCTCTTTTTACCTATCTCTGTCTCTCCCCTGCTGTCTTCTTTTTCAATTAAATTTACCTTTTGCCTGCGCCCGCTGCTAAATTATGAACCACTCCTTCTGCCAGAGACGCTTCAAAGGCTTCCCAAACTGGCTAACTGGCTACTTGGCTGCTTGGCAAACTGGCGGCTCAAATCACTTCTAATGGGCTTCATGTTTACAACGTCAATTGAGAGAAAGCCGCTTTTGCTTACGGCCAAAAGATGACGCCCCAGTATCTCCTCAAATTACAGCCAGACTGCAAAAACGAAATACGCAAAAAAAAAAAAAAAGAAATTACCTCAATTACTGCGCTAATTTTGGTCGCTGAAAGCTGTCAACGGAAGGGGCCGCAATGAATTGCAAACAGCTTGTAGCTATTTGCTTTACTAATTATCCAAATCAAAGGCTCGGCCCTAGTCCGAGGCATTTGTTTTCCGCCCAGCAATGAAATAAATACAACTTTCCATTGCCGGCGGCTACCACAGTCCACGCGGCTCCGTCTACATTTTCATTGGTGTCACTTTGTGGCGGAAGTGGATGACCATGTTTAAAATTCAGCAGTGTGGGCATACCGCCCCTGAAGCTGTCAGAAGTCAACATGGAGCAATCCAGCCATCCCGAAACCCCCCCAAATGGCCGATGCCTCTCCCAGCTCAACTTGATGCATGGCAGTTATTTCTCGTTTAATGAATTGTTTGCGGTTCTCGCTTTGGGCTTCTTCCACGTCGCTGTCATAATTCTTCTTGGGGGTCTTTTGTGCTAGGATAAAAGTGTGCTATGCAATTGAGTTGTTCAACATGGCATTCTACATGGGTTCTACGCTTCGTTTGGCTCTTTCAGTGGAAGCTGATCTTAGTGGTTTGGGCCTAAAAGAGCTTTGATGTTTTGCTTCGCTAGACTTGGGTAGGTTGCCAAAAACCATATTTTATACAATGAGAATAAAAACGTAAGGCTGGAAAAGGTCGTCTTCGAAAAGTTTTTAAGTTTTCTTCAATCATTTTTTGCAGTAAATACTGATTGTCTTGAAAGTTAAATACTTTGATAAAACACTAGTTAAATTTGCATTGTTTCTAGTAAAAATTATAAACAAAATTAATAAAAATTATACAAAGTTGTAAATGCGCTCAAGAACCCAAAACGAATTTCTATAAGCTACGGAACATATTAAATTAGGTTGAGTATAATCATTTTGCTCTTTTTAATTTATTAGGGCTAATTAATTTATTAGGGCCCTTCTGCATATATTTTCAAATATGTGAGAAGCCTAACCTGAAGCCAAACTGCGCTCGAGCTCCTAGTATTACAATAAAATTATTTCAATAGAATCATAAGTTCATTATTTTCTTAGTTAATGCGACTGAAGGCAACAATTCAATTGCTTTATGAGCTTAACTTCTTGAAGTGCCCGCAGATTTCAATACTATAATGCTTATTGAGAAGAAAATCCAAGCCAACAGCTGCCTCAACCAGGCCGCAGAAGCCACTTAAGTGAGAATCATATCATATGCAAAGCGACAATTGTCGCACGAATTACCAAAATTAATTTAAATAATAAATTTAAATGTAATGTTAACAATGAATCCGGCCTGGGCACAAATGGCTGGCAGGCCTAAACCGCTTAGAGTTCGTTCATGTATGAAAGATTTGCACACGCTAATTGGCTGCATGGAGGCCCGAGATCAGAAAATATGCATTGCCTAACCACATTATATTTGCTATACTGAGGGACATTTTGAACGGGTGTCGAAACGGTGCGGGCATTGAAACGCACTCGAAACGACCGCAAAGTAACCAAAATATTGAACAGCAGCTCACAGTTGACTAAACAGGAGTTCACGGCGGAGTAGCTAACCCGGTTGGCTTGCTTTTGTCATTAAACGGGATTAGCATGAAAATATTGGTCTATATATACAATAATATTCGTTGACATGGAGCGGCTTAGGCTAAGTCGTCCACTTGAAAAATGGTGACATTTGCGACGCGCACAAAATGAGTTTTTTGGTTGCTCAGTTGCGCCACAGGAAGTCGCACAAATGACTCGCGCCCAGGCCTCCAAAAGCGAAACCAAAGTCAAGCCTCAAATCTAGATATGGAATCAGTGCATGATGCACTACAAATATGGTTTCATTAAATGGAAACAATGTATGCCAAACGTTATCTAGATATAAATGTCACCAATCGCAGACCATTTCACCACTAAATGCCGCATCAAAATAATCCCTTTGTGATAGATAAGATTTGTTCGGACCGGGCGCATTGCGTTGGGACTGAAATTGGATTGTAATTACTGCAGTATATAATTATATTGTCAGTACGTCCTTTAGCGTTATCCTTACAACAAAAAAAAAGAGCTGCACAATAGACATACACAGACATTTCCTGGACTCGGCACCCTTTCCGTTAGCCGCGTTGGTCCTTTGTTGGGCGCACTCACAACCATATCAGGTTACAGTTACAGCGCTTAACTGCGTTCTTTGCTGCGTTATAATTAAACCGCAGTTGAATAGCAGACAGCAGCAGCAGCAACAGCAGCAACAGCAGCAGCAGCATAACTTCAACAGTAGCTGACCACTAATTAAAAAACGCAATACCAATGTCAAAATACTCGTGTGTGGATAAAAAAAGAAAAAGTGTGGCCCAGGTGAAAGTCAGTCAACATATTTACGTATGCGTATTTGTATTAAACGATCACTCAGCGTTTTGGGTGCGCTTGAATTAATCATTCGACGGACTAACTCCGAGTTCGATGATCAAGTGATAAGCCCGTCACATAGGCAGCCACACGTCAGCTGGAAGCGCCAAACAGCAGGAGTCAACACTTGGTCAAAAGGCGAGGGCGATTCTCGCTCTTAATTGGGGTAACCAGCACGCGACCCTCGCTAAGGGACTGCGACTACGACGCGCTTATCGCAGGATCGATCGGTGAGCGCATGCGTAAATGAAATGAAAATGATCATTATTAAATAAAAAACACACACAGGAAAGCCAAAAAAAAAAAAGAAGAGAATAATGAGAAGAACTGTCCACTTTGCATGTGTCTGAAAGTAAGTCGGGCAGTCCCGCTCATAAAATAAAAGTGCAACATTTTTTTAATTCAACACATGCCTTATTCGAGCAATTCGATACTCGATCTCTCGGCTCATGTCCTTTTTATGCGCATTTAAATGCCGGCTAAGTGGGGTTACCAGGACCCCGTTTTCTTGTTTTTTGAACTTATTGATGAGCTGCATTGCAATATGTAGGAGGCCCTCAAAGACTATCCATGTCCGTACATATGTAAATATACACACACACACATACAGAGACACAAACACATGTATGTAGGTCAGTCAGTTCAGTGAGGGTTCATTCATTCATTCAAAACAAACGTGTATTCATAAATGTTGCATGCCGGACTATTGTCAGACGGTTATGAAATAGCATTGAATTACATTTGCAAATGTTGCGAAATTTGATATATTTGATAAATTACATGGCCAAGTTAAAGTAATCGATATCGATTTGTTAACATTCCACATATTTGACCAGTGGTCAGTCTGAGGCAACATTGGAATCCATTCGAAATTTCATATGGATTATCAACCTAAAATAAAAGTATTATCAATCTTCTCCTAGTCACCATAAGAGTTGGGGAAAGCATATTTATATGAACCCGTTCGTATGCAAGTTGATGTTGGTTTACAGCTATGGATTGCGCTTTTAGATTCCTTTTCCATAAATTTCATATATTTTTATATAACCCTAAACACTTAAAAACTGATCTTCAAATGATGCGATTAAAATAAACTTGAAAGAATAATATAAAGCACGCTTGAAGAAAATATAGGTACAGATCCAAAATGTCATTTAATTCCTTTAATTCACTCTACGCACAAACAAAAGTCCACTTAGGAAAACTCTTTAGTAAGCACTTGAAATTTTTAAATTGGAGGTATAACTAAAAATACAGTTATACCCTCATTATCGCCAGCTAGACATCATTGCACCCACTTAGGGTATCCTATGACATTTGTCGTCCAATCTTACAGACTTTCCATTAAAGTTATTATCTTGACAATCAGCTAAAACAACTTGTTAGACGATGCTCTACAGGATTCGTATGTTTTTCCAGCGAACAGATTTGCGTCACCTTCAAACATCTCGAGCCCAACGCCATTGTTTTCCATTATACATTGAGAACCTCAGGGATTACACAACATTTGCTCAATAATTCAAGGAGCAGGGACTGGAATCTGGACTAAATCAGTTGAAATTGTAGCCGCTTAGGCTCATTGAAAAATAAGGGAACGCTTGACTTTTTGGTTTCACGTTCGGCTGCAAAACAAAGAGCAAGGCTCTTGAACCTTAAGCCGGGTCTCAAAACAGCTCTGCAAGGTGCACCTAAGTAGCTGTTGGGCAGCTCATTGTTTGTGGGCAAGAATATTAACAGAAGACTCACCTGGAGAGCATGGCCGCATCCTGTGGTCCGCCTGCGCCGTGCTGCGGCAACTGCGGAATGGGCGTTATCAACGTTGTGGCGCCGTTCTTTTTCGCCGGCTCGCTGCGACTCAGTATGCTGGAGATGGAGAAGCTGGTGAAGCCGTTGGAGCCGGTAGTGGCTTTGTTGCCATTGCTGCTCGCATTGCTGTCATTGCTGTTGGCCCCAACGGAAGCTGCCGCCGCCACCGCGGCTGCTGCCACTGAGGCACATGTGCTGTTGTGATTCACCGTCTTGCTGTTGTTGTTGTTCAGGCTGTGGCCGAGCTCTTCGCTAGCACTGCCATTGCGCTCCAGTTCAGGTGACTTGGGCGCCATGGCAGCCAGAGCGGGCGGCGATCCTAAACGGTCGCCAAGATGTGTCGGCGCCACAGCTTGCTGCAACAGAGCAGGATGCGGTGCCGCATGGGCCGGATGCAGATGGCCGAAACTGTGCAGCGCGTGATGCAGGGCGACGGGATGGCCACTGAGCGAGCTTAGATGATGCTGTAGATGATGATGCAACACCGCCGGCGGCACAGCTCCATTGGGGCTATGATGATAATGCGGTACGGCCACAGCTGATGTAGATGTTGGCGTGCCGGCGGCAGTATTTGGCGTGGACCGATGCGTAGGCGTGGCTGGTGGTGAGCTTCCATCAACGGAGTGCGCCATGGGACTCTCGCGTCCGTTGCTCATGCCGGCGGCACCCAACGGACTCGGCTCCGGACTGGACACCACACTTATATCAACTTCAGCCTCGGACGAAGACATTTCATACACGCACAAAACTCTTTGCTTCACTTTATTTGCAAGTATTCTCGATGGATTCACAATGTTTTAAATGTTTCGTTAACGATTTCGATTTCTGTCACTCGACTTGGCACTTGCCTCACTGGCCTTGAGGTAAACACTGAATGCAACTGTTGACGAACATCTAGCGACGAAAATAAAGTTCCTCAGGTGGCGACCGGGACGTCTGCACCGTTTGATCAACGATTCGCATTTAAATTCAAATGTTTTCGGTTAACAGGCGCAAAGTCCTCGGCGCGCCTGCCAGCCCGCCTGCCTATTTCTCTCTCCTGTGCTCGCTTTGACTCTCTCCCTCACTCACTCACTCTCTGGCTGTGCGTATGTGTGTTTGTAAAAGCGATCGTTTAGTAATTTTATTGTTAAGGTCTTTTGGATTTGTAACCCCCGGTTGTTGTGTCAGAGAGCGTGTGCGCCGACTGCCTGCTGCGGCGCTCGACTGAAACTGAAACATGAAATGTGCTAAACATAACTGAGCTCAACTCGGATGGTTGGTTGGTTGTCGGCTGTGAAATTCTTTTGGTCTTTGCGCTAAATGGTTTTCCACACACACACACACACACACATGCACAGCAAGAGGGTGATGCAGTGATAGCTGTTCTACTACGGGAGGGTGTGTGCGCTGAGTTGAGTCTCTGCTTTTGCAGTCTCACTTATCATGCGCGCTCTTTCTGGCAGGGGTGGCTCGCTCGGCGCAGCTCAGCTCTTTTGCCCAGCCTGTTTCCATTTCCATTCCATTTGCAGTTGAATTTCAGTTCGTTTATTTCGACAATTGCGCTGAAACCGCATCGACATACGCAAAGGTGTATGTTTTATTTTTTGTCTGTCGTCGTCACTAAGTTGTGATAATAAAACTATAGAAAAAAACCCGAGAGGCAGGTCTCGAATCTGAGCCTGAAACACTTGGCAAGCGGAACACGTCAGAGTGGGAGCGCGCTTAGCCTTCGTGCGTGCATATGTGAGTTTGTATTTGTGTTGGGCTCCCATTGAAATGCCAATATAAAATCAATCAATTGGCACCCGGCAAGGGTCAAGTGCTGCTCTGTGTGCAGTGCTATTGCTCCAAAGTGTGCAAAACATCTTAATTGATGGCAGTTGAAAGGTTCCTTTCGGGTGAAGTGAGCTGCGTATTAGAAAAGGCTTACACTTAACGCTATTGGGGCCACAAATAGAGATTTAACAAAACAGCTCTCTGTGAATAATATTGTATCAATTTAGTTATCCTCACAGTAGAGTTATCAATTTTGTTTCAAATTTTCACGTGCATATGTCAACTATAATCTCAACTTTATGACTATTAAAAAAAATAAAGATGAGCTTATTATCCCACAGAATATCTTTTAATCGCATGTGAAGCTTTAAGCTAATAAATTCCTTTGATTAACTCTTTAAATATTTCCTGTTTTAAAAATGAGATTTACATATGGCATATATGATATCATTATATTCCTGTGCACAAAGTCAGCTCAACTCTTTGACACTATACATCAAATCACAGCTCATTCACGTTCCATTCCACAGCGTTCCTCTGAGTCGAACAACCCCAACGCACCAAGAGGCAGCCATTTTAACAAAAGCTGAGCAAACTTTGCAGACATCGTGAGCAAGCGGAGGTTAGAGTGAGAAGGATAAAACGAGAGAGATAGAGAGAAAGAGAGAGCGCAGCAAATTGAATTTTTAAATGCTTTCGACTGAGACGACCACCAGGCATTCAAAAAGTGTTGCAAGCAATTTGCACAAAACAAAAAAACGTTATGCGAGGCAATTGCACAGAGCCAACTGGCGAGAGAGACAGAGCAACAGAAAGATAGAGACAGTGCATGAGAGAGTGCAGAGCAATGCTCAATTCGGCAGCATGTGCGTGCTGAGAGTGGGCGTGTCTCTGTCAAACCAATGGGAACCACTCGGCGGCCACCACTGACGCTCAGCTGACACCGCCGGCAAATAGCCAAAAACATTTGATACCGAGACGGCAACGGCGGCACAGAAAAATGCGTAGAAATTCATGCGCAATTACATTTATCCTGTTTAGAAGATTGCTTTGCCAAAGTGCGTCTCAAAGTGCTGCCAGCCACCGCAGACTTTGGCGCCTGCTCCCCTCTCCGACATTAACATAATACATACATACGCACCCATGGAGCTGTGTGTGTGTGTGCGTGCACGGGGGTGTTGGTGCTGAGAATTCCAACTGCCAGCATTGCAGCGTAACACATTTTTATGTAATTTCCCTCTGCGCTTTGCTTGTTTTTGATTCGTTTTCATGTTAGATTTTGCAATGAGAGCAGCCCATGGAGAACCAGCCCGAAACGATTCCAGAGAGTACGGCAGCGACGTTTAGTTCAAAAGGTGTTGACACTTAGGCGCTGCCCCACTTTCATTTTAACTGAATGCACAAATGGAAATCGCGTTACTTGTGTTCGAGGGCGACGGGCTGGCTGGGCCTGGGCAGAGAGCGTCACTCGGCGTTTTGTCAATGACATTTTTGGGCGTACCTAAACCCCACCTGTACCATGTAGGTACTTTTGTGTGTGTGTGCGGGTGTATTTGTAAAACAATTTCATTTTGAAATCGTGTTGACGATGCGATTTGATTGTAGTGTTTGTTGGGGCTGCCATTATTTCCAAGCATTAATTAGGCAAATTGACGTTGGAAAGTCAAAAGGGTGCTAAACCAAAATTCAATGGATGCGGCAACAAAATGAATATTCATCTTCAAAATAGGGGCTGATATCGAAAACACTCTGTTTAAACAAGCCCAGAGATAGGTATTACTAACAGTCTAAAATAGCCAACCCCAAATTTTAACTTAGGCCCTTACTGCTGGCCTGCCCAAGCACATTAAGCTCAATCCCTGACCGCTGACCAGCGGGCAAAGGCAAGCCACAAAAATTCCAAAAGCAACGACCGAAGCTCTTTTACTTGGAACATTTAAAAGAAATAACAAACTGTTCAACTGTCGGACAAAACGATTCTACAACAAATTGCACTGCAATAAAAGATTATATACATATATATATATATTGTCTGCGAGCGAGTGAGACAGCGCAAGCTGTGTTAGAGCGAAAGCGCCAAGTGAAACCAAAGCCAAAGCCAAAAGCAATGCAGACAAGCTTCAGAGCTGTTCAATGTATCTGTGCTTGCGTATTTCTATGTGTGTATATAAGTAAGTATGTGTGTGTGGGCAAACAAGAAAAACAACTCTTAATTGACATACGAGCAAAGTGGGAGTTGCAATTTTCATTGACTCCACTTTAGCTGGCAGTTGGGCGCCTAAAAGTCGACCACAGCGCAGTGCAGAGAGCCGAGACTGGCTTTGGTTGGCTTTTAGCAGAGAGGAAGAGCGTGGGGCGTACAAGGATTTGCATGGCTATGCTAGATACTCCGGTCAGGTTCAGACACTTTTGATCGGCCCCCCTCAAATCAACTCGTTCGCTTGTATGCGTCTCTAAGTACATTCCATGCACACATCCTGGCAGTGCCTATACGTACACATGCACGTACATGCATGCATGCATATGCCCAAGGCTTGCCAAGTTTGCTCGACTTAACGGCAATTAATTTGGCAATTGACGTTGCTCAATATGTACAAAGAGACGTGGGCATAATAACATAAATTCAATAGTATTTCGGACAGAAGTTCTTGCGGCTCCTCTGTGGCATGTCTAATCGGACGCTCCATTTCGTTATCGGACACATTAGGCAAATGGCTGCGGCTTTTGTTTGCCATTAACATTTCTATAATAGGCGAAGACCATGCTAAACAATAAACTGCATGGAATGGCAATGGCATGGCTAAAAGCAAATGGAGTTGTAGTCCCTTTATCCTTCGCTTACGTCTATTTTGGATATTAGGCTGCTAAACTTGTGACGCGCATTCTGGGCTTGGCTTTTGTCTTCATTCAAATGCAAACAATGGCTGACTAAAATATACGTAACCCTTCTCCCTCCCACACACATAGCATAGGTAACAGAAAGAGCGCATAAGGTATATACATATATATATATACACATTTATATATGTATATGCATACATTTACGAACACACGCAATTCACAGGCAACCCCTCACGCGGCGCTCATAAATAACGCTTTAGACTTTGATTTAAATAAATTGTATTACGAACACTAATATTTTATCATTTCAACAGTTTCGCGTGGCTCGCGATTCGATTCGAATTTCTTGCGCGTTTTACCAATGATTCCCTTTTAAGGACAGCACAACGACATTTTTACTGATTGAGTGCCATTTTTGTCGCATAAATTTTATGCCAAATAAATGTTGCTAGTCGTTAACCAGCTTTTCGGCGACAGGGGAAAAAATGTAGACACAGCTTTGACCCCATTTATTGTCTGGGCTGCAAGATGATTTTTATAAGTACTAATGTTCAAAAGCAAAAATTAAAATTATAAGAACTTTACGCAAATCTATAACGAAAATATTGGTGTATTTTGTTTGTTAAGAAAAGCAATGTTTAATATTAGTAATTTATTTCACAATCTTCGTTTTCAACATACCAATGTGAAACTGCGTAGCTAACTGCAAATTTTGGTCGGTAAGCGTTTGAAATCAAATCGCAATAAAATGGAACATTTTAAAATAATTACTGTATATTAGTACAATAGTCGGCCGCCAATAAAGGTACAACAATATAAAATTACCAATTTGTAATAACCACAAAGCAGAAGCGGCAGAGAAGAGGGGCAGTAACAGCAGCGGGAGTAGAAGAGTCGCATCAGAAAATCAATTCAAACAAAGCGGACCGAAGGGATGTGCAAATGGCCACAGATTGTTGAGCGAATTGAATACTGTTTGTTAAAATGGGAGAGTTTGAAATATAAAGTGTGTGGAAATTTTTTGAAAAGTGAGGTAGGCCCATAATATACGATACGTCTGTGTGCCTAGCGCAGCGTTATATAATTAACAGTTAAGTAATTCGAAATTCGATCAGATTATGATTTCGAATTA